AAATATTTAGTTTTGAGCTAAATGTTTAGCTTGAAACTTAGATATTTAGCTAGCAAGTTAAATATTTTAGGTAGCTAGCTATATATTTAAGTCACAAGTTAAATATTTAGCTTGTTAACTAAATATTTAAGTTGCAACCTAAATATTAGGTATCTAGCTAAATATTTAAGTTAAATATTTAGGTGGAGCTAAATATTGAACTTGCTGGCTAAATATTTAAGTTTCAAGCTAAATATTTAGCTCAAAACTAAATATTTAAGTCACAAGCTAAATATTTAACTTGTGACTTAAATGTTTAGTTCTGAGCTAAATATTTAGCTTGAAACTTAAATATTTAGCTAGCCACCTAAATATTTCGGTTGCAACCTAAATATTTAGGTAACTAGCTAAATATTTAAGTCACAAGTTAAATATTTAGTTTATAAACTATGACATTTATAAATGTATGAATCATATGGTAAAAAACTGACTTTGAAAAATAAATCTGTTCTTTTTTTCTAATGAAAGGCTAAATAAAACAAAAATATTGGTGGTAATTTTTGACTGTAACTTTACAAACGGCACCCCACACATGAAGCCACCACTTTTCGACCCACTTGGTCTTCTTCCACTCCGTCATCCTCCTCCTGCGTTTTCGTTCCAGTGCGGCGACCTGGGTTTCCACCTGTCCCTGGAGAGAGTGATGAAGTGTTACCTGGCCAGCCGGTGGCGGATCCAGAAGACAGAGGAGACGGGGCTGAAGCAGCTGGAGGCCGCTGTGACGTCCCTGGACCAAAGCGGGGACAGGGACGCGTTGCTACAGCAGCACGATGCAGCTTTCTGCCTGCCGTTCAGGTTTAACTACCACCCGCATGAGGGGGATCAGGTACGCTCACTGTGAGACAGGTGGACGTGTTGGACAAGATGGACATGAGTGGGACTTTTTTATGTAAAGCACAGCTGGAAAACTGCCTGAATTCTGCTTCAGCATATAACCTTCTTATTTTATTGTTTCTTCCTTCAGAACTTTGAATTTTAGCTAATGTTCTGCTACTTGTAACATTTGGCTCGCCTTATGTTACTTTTAGCCTTTTAGTTAGCTTTTTGTTACTTTTAGCTTCCCTTTTGCTACTTTAGTTTTTAGTTATGCAGCAAAATTTAGCTAGCATTTTGCTACTTTCAGCCTTTTAGTTAGCTTTTTGTTACTTTTAGCTTCCCTTTTGCTACTTTAGTTTTTAGTTATGCAGCAAAATTTAGCTAACCTTTTGCTATTTCAGTTTATAGTTAATCTTTTGCTAAATTTAGTTAGCCTTTTACCTCTTTTGGTTTGCATTTGTTTCTTTTAGTTTTAGCAAATGCTTTGCTGCATTTAGCCTTCATTTGTTACATTTAGTTTTAAATAACCTGGTAAATTTGACTAGTTTTTTGCTACATTTTGTTTTTAGCAACATTTTGTTATTTTTAGCTTTTAAATAGCTTTTTGCCACTATTTGCTTTAGCTACATTTTTAATTTATTTTGCCTTTTACCTCTTAGTCTTCTGCTACTTTTTGCTTTTAGCAACATTTAGCTACTTTTAGCTTTTAAATAGCCTTTTGTTATTTTTAGTTTGCAGTTTGCTATTCATTATTTTTGTCACTCACATTTTTATCTCTAGAGATGTTTGTGTTTAAAAGATTAGTTGAAGTGGAGTTCAGTAGAAAGGTTTTGAGCAGCCATTATCTTACCTGCTGTAGATGGCACTGTGACAAACAGATGTTAAAGCAGTGCTAACAAATGTTGGTTATATTAGCTATATCTTTTCAAATATTCAATTTGCAACAATAACTTCTTGTCAAAAGACCCAGAAGCTAGTCTGTGTGAATTAAAGTACTTACTGAGCTTTAATTTGTTTGCAAAAGATGACTTCATTTGCTTAGTTGAAAATTCCTGATGGGCCTGGCAACCATAGCTATTTTTTTTTTTTTTGTCTTTCAGGTGTGCGAGGTAAGTGCGGAGAGCCAGGTGAGGTACGAGCTGGAGACCAGGTTCCAGCAGCTTCAGTCTCGACTCGCCTCGGTTACGTTGGAAACAGAGGAGGTTTGTGAATTGTTCTGTTTGTTTCTTGGTTGGATTATGACTTTAGAAACAACAAACAACCATTTCTGCTTCTTTTTCAGATCAGTAAAACGCTCAAAGCCACGCTCGCGGCCCTGTTAGAGTCCATGTGCGACAGCGACTGTAACCCCGCCCCCGACGTGCCCAGCAGCCTATCACATGAGCCAGCCGGGGGAAGCTCCGCCCCCAAACTCGCCCTTGCTAAGCGTCGAGCCAATCAGCAAGAGACAGAGACCTACTACTTTACAGTATGTTAAAAGTGATTTAAATATGTTTTTACTGAGAATAAACATTTTGAATTTATTGTAGTTTATTATTATTATTATTATTATTATTATTATTTTAGAAAGTGAAAGAGTTCCTCATCAGCAGCTCTCTGTCCTCCAAACTTCAAGCCAAACATGATCTTCTACAAGAGGCCATACAGAAAGGTCGGCTTCTTGGTTTTTCATTTGCACCATTGAATTTTCCTCACGCGCTTTTAGATTTTGATCATTTTATTTTTGTTTATTTTTCTTTCAGCCGAGGCCATCGACAGCGACCCGTCCAGGTAAACAAAGTGCTTGCTTCACCTGAGAGTAAAGCCAGTGAGTCTGAAAGAGGCTTAGAGACACGGCGAGCGCAGAGAGGACAGCAATGAGGAGACGAACAAAATTAAACCCCAAATTGTCATTTTTGATTAATCTTCTGCTTTTTATTGACTCAAAGGGACACAATAATTATTGTATTTATCAAAAATTGTTTGGATTGCAGCTGCCATCGACCAGATCTAAAACGAGGTTATGGATTTTATTTGTTATATTTCCCAGAACGCAATGTGCTCGGTCAGTGCGTATTCGGAAGTCCAGACCTGTTTCCCAATTCTGCCACACACTCTTCACCTCAGACATACTCTCCTACATTCAGGTAACACAAACAAAAACAAAAAAAAATGTTCTTTTTTTTTTATTTAATTCTTTTAATTTCCCTTCTTTGTTTGCTGCTCTGCTGCTCTGCTCTTCAAAGGAAATAATTTAGAAAATGCCGATGCAGAAGAACTGGAGGNCATTTATGGTTTGATTTCTTTGTATGTATGGATCACTTGGGTTGTTACCGACATCTGGTGAAAATTTCATGTCATTAGCACCTCTAGTAACATATTTACTGAGAAAAATGGTGACGTGTTCAATACTTATTTTACCCACTGTACATGCCTGAAACACCATGACAACACAAAAAACCGGTTAATAAAACATAAGGAAAGGATTTCTGTTCGAGTGTCTGCAATTCAGCCGTAGGCCTGTAGTGGGCGTACCAGGCGCTGAAGAACCTGATAAATAGACCTGCATTTCCAGTTTTCCTGCAGCGTTGATTTCTTGCCTGCACTGAAAGCATTAAATCACCGTTCAGACTCCAGTAACTGGTGTTGTATGGTCATTCTCTTCACATTTTTATCTATTCAACATTTATGTGGTTTATACGGTTTCGTCACGATTTCAATTAACGAACACTAATTTTTTTTACAGAGACGTACCGGCGAAAAAGCTCAGAGGAGATTATACAAACCCTCACCCATCTCTGCTCAAATGACAAATTTAAATATGCTTTAACTGGACTGTTTTATAACACACAGTACCAGAACATGTTTATTTTAGTGTTTTTATTGTTTGCTCACATCATTTTACAGTAAAATGTGTAGAATCTGTTTTTCTTCTCTCAGTTGAAATTTGAGCAGAGTCTTAATGAGGCTTGAAAAGTGGTTTCACAGCAGCTTTTAGGCTCGATGCTAATTGGAGCACGACCCTTTTAGCTTCAGCATTGTCATGTTTTAAAGCTGTATATTGAAAATGTTATTGCTACCAGTAAAACAAGAGCTGCACAAAGGTGAAGCAGCAAAGCAGCGTGGGAGAATTTAGAAAGATAGTGACTATTCAAAAATGGACAAAATATATTTATTAGGAGTACAAACGATGTGGTTCGATACTTTAGTCTCAAAGTTCGATATTTTTTCGATACAAAAAAGAGAAATGTCCATGCCCTTCTTAACTTTTAATTCCTAAAAATTAATTATGAACATTTGTTTAACCTCAAAAGTAGTTTTTAAATTAAATTTGCTGAAACAGCAAGTTTCTCAGTGTATCTGTGCTCCACAATGCAGCCTAGGTGGAGTAGTTGAACACAGATCCACTGATCCTTCAACACAGAGCATCTGCAGAAGACAAGCTGATAAAATTAATTGTAGAAATCTGTATTGTTCCATACATAGTGTGTATTGAACAGTTCGATACAGAAACCATTAATATTTATCATTAATAAGTCAGAGATCAACTGATCTTGAAAAAACATCATCATGAATGCTGAAACGAGAAGCTTATACTGTACATGTGCAGGTGTCAGATCTATTGTGCATTCGGGGGCAGATTGCACATTCTTTATCCATGTCACAAACTTTCACTTTGCCAGAAACTGACTTCTAGGTTTTAAATCCTGTTTTCAGTTCCGCTGTGAGCACACATCACTGTAGTCTTGGACATATCTAAATAATATACAGCATGGATGTAGGTTTTTCATTGGCGCTGCTAAATATGTGTTTTTAAAAGGTAAAACGTAGGAAAGTTCGGGGGCCCCTGTGTGTTGCCTTGGACCCCCAAATGAATAAGTCCGCCTCTGATGCTGGACATATATTGTATTTAAAGTGTATCTTACCCCCCCCCCCCCCCCCCCCCCCCCCGTCTCCACATTCAGCTCCAGTGTTTAGACTGCTACCATCATGTGTACGGTCACGCTCACAGCTTATTGCTGCCTCCCTACTCCTTTCAATCCACCCTCCTTTTATCTCTTCCCCTCTCCGCTTGTGAAAAGGATTTAAAATTTGCTGGCCTCTTTTGCTGCCTCGTCTCAACTCCTCTATTGAATGTGCGTGTGGTTGCGCTTCTTCCCACTCCCTAAAGCTTTATTCCCCATATTGTTGCTGTTTCCTTGTCTTCTAATTTGTGTTTTTTTTTCCTGCTTTGCTGTGCTTGGTTTGGTGCAGAAGGAGGAGGCGAATGTCTCGGACGCAGGTATCGAGCACCGTCTGTGGCTGCAGAACGTATCAGATTTTTATTGTGAATGTTGGTTTAATGAAAGAAGACTGGTTTAACATTCACACCATAGTTTTCCCTGTTTTTACAACTACTTCAGAATACTTTTAGTCATTTATGTCAAAACATTCAGCTCTTTCAGGAGATGGGTGCTGGCTGGGACTTGTTGTTTTTATAACTTATATACTTAACAGAATATACAAAAAAAATTAAAATTGCATAATTTCCTCCAAAAACTTTCTCTTTTAAATTTGCTTCAGCATGCTTGCTTCATTTTTGCCTTTTATGCAGCGTTTCAATTTTTCCTCCTTAAATGTTTAAACAACTTTCTGGGTAGTTTTAACAAACTTTTGTTGTTTTTAGCTGTTAGCTAACATCCTGCTGCTTTTAGCTTATTAAACCTTGTGTTGCTTTTAATAGTTTTAGAATTTTTGTAGCCTTTTTATACAAGATATTAGACAACGTTTAGCTCCTTTTAGCTTGTAGCTAGGCCTTCATTACTTTTAGCCTTTAGGTAGCTTTTTAGCTTTTAGCAAGGTTCTTGTTCTTTTTGGCTTTTAGCTAGCCTTTTGTTACTTTAGCATTTAGCTAGGCTTTTGTTACTTTTAGCATATAGCTAGCTTTGTTACTTTTAGCGTGTAACTAGCTTTTGTTACTTTTAACGTGTACGGTAGTTAGTTTTTTGTTACTCTCAGCTTTTAGATAGCCTTTTACTTTGAGCTTGTAGCTAGATTTTTGTTACTTTTAGCTTTAAGCAAGGTTCTTGTTCTTTTTGGCTTTTAGCTAGCTTTTAGTTACTTTTTGTTAGTCTTTTGTTACTTTTAGCATTTAGCTAGCCTTTTGTTGCTCTTAGTTTTTAGCTAGGCTTTTGTTACTTTTAGCATTTAGGTAGCCTTTTGTTGCTCTTAGCTTTTGGCTTTTGTTACTTTTAGCATGTAGCTAGATTTTTGTTACTTTTAGCTTATAGATAGCCTTTTGTTACTTTTAGCATGTAGCTAGATTTTTGTTACTTTTAGCTTATAGATAGCCTTTTGTTACTTTTAGCATGTAGCTAGATTTTTGTTACTTTTAGCTTATA